AGCGAGTGAGTACCTCACTGTTTCGGTGCCCCTGTTGGATCAATTTTGGAAGCAAATTCCCTGCCTTGATTTAATACCTTTTCACCTTGCATGCAAATATGCACGTCTAGGGAATTCTCTTCCTTTAATCCATCAGCATGCGACAATAATATGTGAACACCGGCATTAGTCGTGGCCATATCAGTAGGTGCGTATCTATCTATGCAGATTCCTGTACTGCGGGTTCATTACAAGGAAAGACAGGGGTATTTTGCAAATATGTGTGTGCTGACCGGCTCGGGCCCGAGCAGTCCAGTTGTCGCTCTGTGATTGGCCCAGGACCAAAGTTGCACATTGGATGCAAGTTGTAGGACTAGGTAGGTTCATTTTACAAGTTGTAGGACTAAACCATCACATCTCGGACAAGTTATAGGACTCCCAGTGCTTTTACCTCTTCTCAAAGCAAAGCTGCACATACACGATAACTTCATGTACGCTGAAACTTTGCCAGACGCCTGCACAGATAAAAGGTAACACTTGCTCTTCAAGTTGGACATTCACAAAAGGCAACACTTGCTCTTAAAGTTGGACATCCACAAGACATTTGACTCTGTTAGATGGGATTACATCCTTGATCCCTTTAGCGGAGGTGGTTCCCTAGTCGGTTCAGTGACTGGATCACTGCCTTGCTAGCCACATCTTCATCAGGGTCCTCAATGGGATATCCGTCCTCCACCCCCACCCCCACCCCCACATCCTGCATGGGAGGGGGTGCGGCAAGGTGAACCATGTCACCATTGCTCATTGTTATTGCCGTCGACCCCCTACAACAAATCATGGATGTGTTTACTAAGCACAAGATTGGTGGAAGAGGGGCCACCTTCCGCACCTCACTTTATGCCGAGGACACCTCTATCTTTGTTGCCCTCATCAAGCAGGACGTCCATAATCTGGCAACCATTTTGGGCTCTTTTGGTGAGGTGACTGGTCTTTCCACCAACTTTCAAGAGAGCTCTATGGTTCCTATTTGCTGTGGCAACCCCAACCTTGCCGACATCCTGCAAAACTTACACCATACGAGCTTCTTTCTCAATCAAATATCTTGGTCTACCACTCAGCTCAAGAGAGTGGATTTCCAGCCGCTCGAGGATAACATGTGGCAAAGCTCCCTCCATGGAAGGGGAGGAATATCACTATGATTGGTCGAACTACTTTGGTCAAGTCTGTCCTTATCTTGCAGGCAATATATCACATCACACCTCTAGTCGTCATTCCTAGAGTTGTCAACAACACCAAGAAGACGGAGCGGGCCTTCCTTTGGTCGGCGGTGGACAAGACCTCGGGCACGAAATGCAAGGTGAATTGGGAAACTAGGTGCCGCCCCACCGACCTTGATGACCTCGAGAAATTTGCAAGGCCCTTGTCGTTGCTCTGGCCATGGCTTGAGCAGAACAACCCAACCAAGTTGTGGATTGGCATGCATGGGCAACCCTTGTGACGCTGTGTGCACGGAGTTTTTCTATGCCTACACCTGCATCACCATAGGTAATGGGGTTAAGGTGCCTTTCTGGGACACGCCATGGCTGGATGGGAAGAGGCCAAATGACATTTCCCCCTTGTCCATGAGGTCTGAAAGAGAAAGAAGTGGACTGCTCGCCAGACCCTTGCTAGGAATGCGTGGATTAAACAAATCAAGTTGACCGAGCATTTTTTCATGGATCATCTTCTCGAGTACGCAGAGCTTTGGAGCATCCTCTCGCATGGTCGGCTTAACGATGGTTTGAAGGATGTAATTTCTTGGAAGTTCGCGACAAGCAGTATCTACTCGACCAAGCCTAGGTACAAGGCTCAATTCCATGGCGCCACCCTCACTTCAATGAACAAGACTATCTGGAAGACTTGGGCCCCTCTGAAGGCCAATTTTATTGCTTGGTTAACCATTCAGAATAGGATTTCGACCGCCAATCGCCTGGCTAGGAGAGAATGAGAGAAATGTGCACTTTGACCCCTCAGTAAGAGGGCCAATGAGATGTCCATGCATATTTTATCCGGGTGTTGCTTCACCATGAGTGGTGTGGAGAATGCCCAAGGATTGGTTTGGTTTGGACTCCCCTGAATTTATCTATGTGGGCGGGTGAGAGAAGCATCAAATCTTGGTGGACAAGAATGACAACCCCCAACATTGCAAACCGAAAGACGATAGCCTCCCTAATCATGCTTGTCGACGCTCTCGAATGAGCAAAACGCTCGTGTCTTCCGAAAGAAATCAATGCTACCATGCTACATCCTAAAGCTTATCAAGGAGGAGGCTAAGATTTGGGTCATCGAGCGAAATAATTGGGTAATTTGATGCCACGAGAGTAGAAGCCTTTCCTTTTGTATGTCTGACGTCGATGCACTGCGCTCTCTTTTGAGCAGTAACTCTGTATTAATAAACAAGGCAAATCTTTTGCCCCGGTTTCAAAAATAAGTATTTGCTCTGCGTATCACATAATTATGCTCCAACACCGAAAGATGTCGGCGTACGACAATCTATGGGGCCGAGAAGCCTCTTTCGGTTCGGTGTGGCGCACGCAGCACACAAAGAGCAGCAACAACCACACACAACACATGAGTGTTTACCCAGGTTTGGGCCGCAGTGACGCGTAAAACTCTACTCTTGCTTCGGTTGTGGATTGATGTGTTAAAAAGCCTTCTCTTACAGAGAGCGCGACCTTGCCGACAGGACGCTTGGGAGGCTGCTAGACTACTGCAAATGGACAGGGTTTCGGCCATTGTAAAGGTTTCCCCGGCCCTTCTTTTATAGATGAAAGGGGTCGCCACAGTGAAAAACAATAATTACAAGGTGAATAGTGGCTATAGTGCTATCATAGCTAACACTAACGGCATAGGACAAACGCATTTAATGCGTTGTTAGGTGTCATGCTAGGTTGAATGCCGGCAAGGGAGTTTTGTTCCACTTGTACCGCTAGCCAAGCTACCTTTTATTACCGCGCGCCCGTGGACGGGTGTTGGTAAAGTTGTTCTTCAGGCGGTGATCCGCCATGTGTCCCGACAACTTCTACCTAACCGCCTGCACGCCCACCACCTGTCGGCAAGCTCCTGGCCGATAGATGCGGCGAGCAGTGGAGGGACCTTGAGCTTGCCGGCCTTGATCTTGCCGGTGATGTGGAAAACACATTGCCGGGAAGGTAACTTCTCGGCAGCCTAAGTCTTGATCTTGAGATGATCTTCTCGATGACCTGCCTCGAGGTCTTCTTCTTCATGGTATTATTCACCATGACTTGTGTATCTTGGGATGGATCTACCTTTTGCCATGCCTTTTCCGGCGTGGAGGCTACCACTTGCCGATGCATAGTGAGGGGTATAAGCACCCGATGTTTACAACACTGACAGGAGCCCTTGGGCCCAGGCCAGGCACGCGTGCACAACATTTGTCTGGGCTAGGCCCATTAACACGCATCGGCCTCCGCGTGGCGAACGGTAACTGCCACCCACTACCTTTTACTGTGTGCTGATGATATCGGATCTTCGCATTCATTGCGAGATCGTGGGGGAGATGGAACGGGATGCAAGTGGGGATCATGTGCCTGAAAAGGCACACCACGGCGTGCGGTGAAAGGCCAGCCCCCCTTCTTCCCCATAAAAGATAATGTCGGGAGCGTTGTTGAATTCACATATCCCCAATTCCATGTCCCGCTGCTGCTGCTACCTTCGTCTTCCTCGCACCACTGCACCTCGTTGCGCCGCTTGCTTCCGCCTCCCTCCATATCCCTTTCTCCTAGCCATGGTTCCCAAAACAAGGGCGGCCAAGGATGCGGAAAAGACAGGGAAGGCGCCGGAGAAGTCGAAGAAGGCGATGCCGGCGCAGATGCGGAGGGAAAACACTTTTTCCCCGCTGGCATTGAAAGTCTCCGACCTCATGGCCCGATACTCATTCCAATGGTCAGTGAAGACCAAGGACCATGAAGCCGTCGAAGTGTTGCCCACAAGTGTACCTGGCGGCGCAGATAAGTTCGCATTCTTCACCGGATATTTTTATTGTGGATTGCTCCCTCCTTTCTCGGCTTTCTTTGATGAGGTGATGCGGACCCAGAATTTTCTAGGTGAGCCGTCTCTGGTAGATTGAAGGTGACTCTGTTCCGCCATCAGAAAACGTGCCTCTGTTCCGCCATTTTTATTCACCTTAGATTGAAGGTGACGCCATCTCTGGTAGCCTGACATGGATCTCCGTGCTGCCCGCTTGACCCTTGAGATGGTAGGCGCTGACTTTCTCTGGCGTCGGATAGCCCCATTGAAAAGGAGGAGCCCCCACTCCTTTGATTCAAAGGAATTTTATAGGATTTTTGAAGGATTGAAATCCTTTGAAAATTTTCCTACGTTTGTCCTTTGATTCATAGGATTGAATCCCACAGGATTTTTATCAATGAAATCTTTTGTACTACATTTTATAGGAAATCTAACATCCACTCTAACCTCTTTTTACAATTCCTTACTTTTCCCGTGAAATCAAACACTCCTTACTACTCCTATAAGATTCAAGTTGGGCATGGCACTCCAATCCTATACTTTTCCTATTCCTGCGTTTTCAAAATCCTGCGAATCAAAGAGGCCCTGAAAAGGAGGAGCGCCGACACAATGCGGATCCGTCCCGGTCTCGCCAACATCCTATATGCCATTTTAATTCTCTACAGCAATCTCTTGAGTTGATTTGCATGATGACGACAAATGATTAACAAAGAATAAAGCGATTGCTCAGGAACGCAACAAAAGGGTGTTTTCTGATGGATTATATCATTGCGCTACCAGTAGAGTTTAGAAGACCTATTGGACTGTACTCTGACATCTACGATGCACATCTAGAGTCAGAACTCAGGAGCAGGCTGCAGTTCAAAGACTCGCCTAAATTGATCTAACTTCCAATGGAATTTGGCTACCCACATCCGTACCAAAATGATAGAACATTATCAGCCTTGTTTCAACGGTGCTCATCTCTCCTAACTTAAGCTACAACATGCTCGCTACCCATGGAACACCTCCTGGGTTTCAGACCTGTACACAGCGTCAGCTTTCGTTCTGCAGTCCGGCCTGATCTTGCAGAAACAGCAGCTGAAGAGTCCCTTGCGAGGCCGCGGAGCCCTGTGCTTGTCGTGCGGCTGGGACTTCCGAGAGGGGGCACACGCACCACACGGTAGAATCTCAGAGAAACAGCCACCGCGGCGACGACCTTTGACTTCGTCGACCATTGGCGTGCGCTCTCCAGCTCTCGAGGCGACATTCCCTGTAGTGGATGCTTCAGGAATGACAGAGATTTTCTGGTAGCTCAGGATCCTCGACTCCGCATCTCCCGCATCGCTATCTGCACCATGAAGGCATCCCAGGATGTGAGATGCTTTCTCCTTGGGTTGTTGTCCTGGGAGCGGTGGCGAAGGGCACTCCCTTCTGGATGAAGCTACGGTTCTGCAGTCCGTGGTGACTGGATTCTGCGCCTGTTGACCTTCTCTGGATTGCATGACCAGGCTGACCAACGAATTCTTGGATACAATCCTATTGCTGATGGAGATTGGAGAAAGATTGATCCTAATGTCCACGTTGCACTTGAGCAAATTCTGCAGAGAAACCACAAGTGGCATCCAGAAGCTCTCTGATGTTGGTACCTCCTCAGGATGACAGAATTGTAACTCAGCAACGGCCACACCTGCAATCCGAAAATAAATAGAATGAAAATCTGGCTTGAAACATCCTCAGCGAGCATGCAATGGTGCTTATATAATAGTATGTTACCATTGCTGATTGCTCACACTGTGCCAATTGCTATAGAAGATCAGAACTCTGAGGATAGTGCACGCGTTAAAAGAAACAAGGACTCTGGCCATGATGTACCATCTGATGGTGAACAATAACTTATGTTGGCAGGTGCGAACATTTGCTACATGATACATTGTTCAGTATGTGTTTTTTGGAATGCAGCATTGAGCAACTAGCTGGATAAAGATGTATGGTGGATCAACAGGAAAGAAGGGCTACATGAAGCAGGGACATGACTTCATAAGATAGAATGACAAATGAATCTTGCTTCGAAACAAAGTAAAAGTTCTAACACATCGTTATATCAATTACCTTGGGTTGTGTACAGGGATGACAACTTTCCATCTTTCTGCAGCAGATTATGAAGTGACTTAGATGTGCAGTTTTCAAGAGCCTTCATCCATATCGTCTCCAGTACATCTGGATCTCCTAAATTCATATCCAGACATCCGAGTTTGTTCTGGTAGCACAGATGAGAACTGGTCTCTAAGCTTTCATCTTTCAGGGCAGCAGCCCCGTCGTCTGCACAATTAATAGCATGATTATCAGAAAAATAGACACCTGTAATCAGAGATTTGTTTCATAATGATATTTGATATAGGGAACAATTTGAGATATTCGGCATTAATGCAGCATGCCTTTTTCAGACGGAGAATACGGGGTACCTGTTTGACTCTCTGTGAACATGCTTGAAACTGCAGTATCATCTAGGGCTTCTAGGCAGTAAGGCTCTCTCATATTGAACTGTAACAGAGCGGCGGTGAGCCAAGTGGACTGGTTCTTTGTGGTTTTCAATTGCTTTTCGGTTTCAGAAAGTATTTCCAGCGCATTCCTAAGTTTGTGCACGTCCACCTCAGCTGCTGAGAAGTTGCACAAATAGGGTTAGATGGATATGGAAATAATAGATCCATGTACTACACTGTAAGCTTATACACACACATAGGGATAGTGCTATAAATCGTCAACAAAATCGCAGATTTGTGTGCCGCTATGTCTCATGTAGCTCACACAACTTTAAAGTTTGCCCAGGAAGGGAAGTGGACGTACATGTATTTTTGCCAGTAACTTTCCTAACTTCTGAAGAATCTGAGGGGTGCTTCGCAGCTAAAATATCCATGATAAGATTTGCAAGCTGAGCCAATAGCTGCATGGGATCGACCTTTGAACTCAAAAGCTCCCTAGCCCTCCGGACAATGGTAGCAGCATCTGATGACATAGACAGATTAAGAAGATCAAGCAACTCTTCATCTGAGACATCACCTATCTGCCAAAATATAATTGGAGGTTATTTATAGGTCGAAAGAAGAAAAAAAGAAAACATATTTTCTGATGATATATATGAAGTTAGAGAGCTTGAGTAAATCAACTTACTAGGTCGTATGTCACTGATTTGCTGATCCTTTTTCCGAGCAGAGTTAGTTGGTCAAGCATTTGAACTGCATCCCGAATGGAACCACTTGCCTTGCGAGCAAGAAGCTCCAGCGCTTCGGCTTCGAACTCCATTCCTTCTTTTGTGCAAATCTTGCTCAATCGGCGGACAATCTCTGCATCGTCTATCTTGCAAAACCTATAGCTCTGGCACCATCCAGCGGAGTTGCTTGGTAGTTTATCAATGTCGGATGTTATCATGACAAATATTGAGCTTGCAGGGATCCCTTCAAGGCTACTGTAGATGGAGTACCAGCCCTCCTTATCCATATGTTGGCAATCATCTACAATAAGTACCTTGAAGTGTGAAGAAGCAGGAACTTCACAGGCATTCCTGAGCAAGACAGCAACTCTAGATTTGCAATCCAGTTTGGAAGCATCAACCTCTACCACACTGCTGCTGTTTCCTGAGAATATGGCCACGCATTCCTCGCAGTGCCCACAGGGCTGGTTCCCACCTGGAGAGAGGCAATTCAGCGCCGCTGCAAATACCCTAGCCGCGGATGTCTTGCCAATGCCATGCGGACCATGGAGGAGATAGATTGGAGCAAGCTTTCCTTGAGAAACGGCATTTGAAAGAGACTGTGCAACAACATCCTGTCCAGCCAGCTCAGAGAAGGACTTTGGCCGGTACTTCTGGAGCAAGCTTCTCGCGCCTTCCTGGGGCTCACTCCGACCGAGCTCTTCCCCTTCAATCACCAGAGAGAAAGCCCTGTCCTTGGCAGCTCTCGACATCCCAGGGATCGCAGAGCAGCAGTTCTGGTTATGAAGCGCCGCCTTCACCCGCGCGTTGGCCTTGATTATGTTGATCGGAGAGTTGGCGAGGCGGCCGCCAAACTCCTCCCTCCTCCTCTGGACATGATCATACATGTTGTAGCTGAAGCTGTGTCTGCCGTAATTGCTTGCCTCCACGTCATCTTCCTCGAGGGAACACCCCTCCCAGATGGTCTTCTTGGCCGAGAACTTGGCCAGCGAGTTGGTGTCTGGGTCCCTCAGAGATCTGGACCTCATGACGGCGACCAGAGCCCTCGAGATCGGGATATCAACCGAATGCCGCCTCCCCTCAATCATCTTGCAAGGCTTCCAATCAACTCCACAGGCTGGTTGTAGGACTGCAGACGGCTGAATCCTGCAATGCGGACGAGTGTTCAGGAACAATTTTTGACTTGTGGCAAGAAAAGCACATGCATGCACGCTAGTAACAAAAAAAATTGAAACATGAAGCAGATCCCCCATCTAAAATTTCCATCTATTTTTAGATACTTGGTGACAGCAAATGCAGGCCTTTTTCTAAATAAATAAACAGGAAATGCAGGCCATGGACTGCGATTTTTTAGGAAACAAACTCCCTCCCGCTGCGATTTACCCTAAACAGTATTTACCACGCAGGTAATCAATCTTGGGAGCAGAAAAGGATAGAGATTGGGCGTACGGTTTTGAGCAAATCAATCTTGCACTGGTAAAAAAAAGTCGCAAAGAAGAAGATGGTAAATCGTGAATGCAGAATGCATCTAAGAAGAGAAAACAAGAGGAAAGAAAAAAAACAACCTGGGAAATAGAGGTTCTTGGA